CGGATTGTTGTTGGGGGCAATATGCTGACTCTGTAAACCGCTTAGAGAGGGCTGAAAGCCCTATGAAGCGGTATATAAGTCTAACTATTGCTATTTAAAAAGCTGATCCCATTAATGCCTGGCCAATGTCCTCCCGCGAAAGCATGAGGAAGAATTTGTGCTATAATGCAGTGCTTCAGATTAAATTTAGAAGTGTTACCTCAGAATTTAACAGAATTCATAGGAGTGTGAAAGCAGCTATATCTGATTCCCAGTTTACTCACCTGCAGTGAGGAAACTTGGGGGGGGGGGGCTTCTGCAATTGCCTAAAATCTGGGAACAGAAACGGGTGCTTTAATGAGACTCAGACAGATACGGTTGTTACACTCTTCATTCTGAAACACTGCACATTCCTATTCATCCAGTCTTCACAACAGTACCAATACTCTGCTGAGAACATGTTCAATATATGTATGGCCTTTTTATTAGTACTGCACATTGGTTTACTAAGGAGATTATATGTGTTATGAATCCAGTATTAAAATATTGGAACCTGGCACAGCAAACCAGTCACTTAATTTTTCCTTTGTAAATATCTGGGAGCCAAAAGTTTCCTTGCAAGTCTTAACCGCAATTCTTTTTTCTTTCATATGGCCTGTTGAAGCCATAAGACCAGAATAATAACAATAATTTAAAAAATTGCCCTAACCCTAACCTTGGCATGTTTACTATGTATATTCCTGTGAATTTTGATGAGACGTATATCTCACTGCTGAGCTAAATATTCCAAACCCTTCATATATAGGTAGTCTTCAACTTAACAACTATTCCTTTAGTAACTATTCAAAGTCACAAGAGCATTGAAAAAAGGGACTTATGACTATTTTTGACATTTAACAACCACTGCAGAGTCCCAATGGTCGTGTGATCAAAATTTGGATGCTTGAAAACTCATTTATGACAGTTGCTGAGTCCCGGGGTCACACGATCCCCTTTTGTGACCTGACAAGCAACATCAATGGGGAGAACCAGATTCACTTAACAGCTGTGTTACTAATTTACCAACCAGTGATTCATTTAACAACCGTGGCAGGAAAGATCGTAAAATGGAGCAAAGCTCATTTAACAACTGTCTCTAAGCCATAGAAATGTTGGGCTCAAATGTGGGCATAATTCAAGGACTATCTACTCATATTTGAAAGCACCCTTTGAAGGAAAATCATTATCTACAAGTATAATATGTTAAATCGTAATTATGAACAATTAAATATAAAACAAGATAATCAACATCAAATATTAGAATTTGTCAAAGTAGTCTTCAAAGCCTAGTGGCAGATAACATTTTTGTTG